TACCAACGAATAGTGGGATTGACCGTCACATTATAACGCCCCCACGGCTGAAAGGGCGAGCATGTTTGGTGGGAAGGGGATTCGAACCCGCGACCCTCAGATTGCGAGTCGAGCGCCTTATCCACCTGGCCATGCTGGGCCTCCTTATTATGAGATATGTTCTAATTTCCAACGTATCAATAGGCCTACATTTGTAATCTTACAATGAACATAACCTCACCTAGTTTCCTGTAACTTCCCAATGCTGAATGAAAGAAACCTGATTTCTACGATGTTGTCCAGCTGCCCACCATTAGCCATAAACGTTATGGTGCAAAGGAACGGCAGGTGGCGCTGTGGTGGCTCAATGATCCGAAGGGGATACTTGACGTTGACGTCACCAAGAAACGTATTGTTGCAAACTAACAAAATGTCGAAAAAATGTTTACATATATTAGTAACTTGTATTCTATAGAGGTTTCATAAATTCGAAAATCGATATAAAAATTAGATGACCTTGTTTGAACAGAGAAATTATAGGTTTAGGCTTTCTTTTTGGGACACTCGCAATCTCTATAAGAACCTAACTTAATGTGAGATAATTTACTTTTACAGTAGGGTAATTCTGATTTTAATTATTATAAGATGCCACTCCATAGTATCGGGTCATCTTTAGGTAACAATCTCATTCAATGATACAATAAGTCATATCTTTGTAATAATATAATCAACATTCTCCTGCTGTAAATTTTGCTGGTGTTGCATTTTTGAAGTAACGTGAGTTAATTTGGAAGGTTTTGTTTTATGAACACAAACCGTGTTTTTTTTTTTCTCCTATAAATGTGGTTAATATTCTACGGTATGCTTTACAAACAGTTAAATCAATATATATATATATATATATATACTATTAAGATAAGCCCCACTAATATGAAAAAATAATTAAAAAGTAATTATGTTTGACATCATTAAAATTTAAAAAAACGGCAACCTTGATGGTTTGTATGCTGTTAAACTTTATAACAAATCATGCGAATTAAAGAACTAGCTCCAAGTGTTTGAAACTAGCAACTATGGCGAAATGTCGAAATGTCGAAACTCATTACCCTCGTATTTCGTTGTTGTGGTTTTAATTTTGGAGTGATTTAATGATAATTTACTTCCAGATTGCTTCCATATTATATATTCACACTCATTAATAATGTCTTTTTAAGGAAAAGATCACCTTAAAAGATGTGCTTCATCTATAAAAAAAAGCTGTAAATGTATCTGAAGGATTTGTTCAGGAGATCACTTTAAAAAATATGTTTCATCTATAGAAAAGTCGGTAAATGTATTTGAAGGACTCGTTCGTAAGATCACTTTAAATGTGATTCGCCTATAGAAAAGCTAGTAAATGCATTTGAAAGCTTACAATAAAATATATGTCAATGAAGTTAGCTTGAAAGTAAATTTTATCACAATCTTTGTATTCTGTGTAAGTTGTATCCAATGTAATCTCATGAGGTGTAACATATTTTCTTCTGGTCACACTGTGTGTGTTTTACAATAGATAAGCTGTAACTGAGTTTTTACTTGGAAAACGACATCATAACTCTCAATACTATTAGGTAGAAATATATTCATTCGTCTTTCAACTCAGGAGTTTAAGTTAGATAAATCGGTACGTCATTATTGTGATTCGATCTAGAGGTAAAAGAAATCAGTATGTCATCACTGTAGTTCAATCCAAAGGTAAGACAAATCGGTATATCATCATTGTGGTTCGATCCAGAGGTGAGACAAATCAGTACGTAATCATTGTGATTCGATCCAAAGGTAAGACAAATCAGTACGTCATCATTGTTATTCTAGCCAAAGGTAAGACAAATCAGTACGTCATCATTGTGGTTTTAGTCTAAGGTAAGACAAATCAGTACGTGATCATTGTGGTTCTAGCCAATGGTAAGACAAACAGTACGTGATCATTGTGGTTCTAGCCAAGCAAGACAAATCAGTACGTGATCATTGTGGTTCTAGCCAAAGGTAAGACAAATCAGTACGTGATCATTGTGGTTCTAGCCAAAAGTAAGACAAATCAGTACGTGATCATTGTACGTGATCACAGACACACATTCTTTCAGTGTTTTCATTATTTCCTCAGGACTTTCTTCTCATTTATTTTCAGTAATATTTCAGAGCATAACTCCTCATATCTGTTAAGAGAGTTATTTAGACAGATCATTCACACAATATATAGATTCCGTTATATTTATATGTAACATTTAACAATTCAATTCTCAATAAGACTAACTTTAGAATTTAATTACATTAGTCAAGAAATATTCAAATGTATCTTGACTTTAAATGACGTATCAAGTCACTGGAAATACCTAAGCCTTTGTGATTTATGTTATTTCATTTCTATTCACTCTTATTTTCGATTGCTTATCATAACATATTTAGGTAAATAAATAAATATTTAAACTGCTAAGACTAACAAAAGCAATGTGAGCCGTGAATAGTAAATTTATAACTTAACTACTTTGAATGTTTGAATTTTCATTTTATTTCCGAAATAGAAGAAAAATAGAAATAAAAACCAGAAAACCACGTTATATATATATATATATAGATATATAATTACAATGCTACACAACTCACCAGTACAATCAACTGGTTCGTCTATTTCCATTTCCACAGTCGTCTCTTCCGTCACAAAATTTATTCAAACTTATGCAGTGTCCGTTAGAGCAGGAAAACTCCGAAAGGCGGCAACCAGTGCTCGATAGTGGCGCCCCAACACCTAAAGTATTGGAAATCGCCACCACTGCAACAATTAGTACATCGAGATACAGCATTCTGTAAATCATCCTAAACCTCGATTACAGGAAACGTCATATGCTGGCATGGTCAACAGACGTGCCCTAAAACTATTAAAATAAAATTGCGTTATATACTGGCATGGTCAACAGATGTGCCCTAAAACCATTAAAATAAAATTGCGTTATATGCTGGCATGGTCAACAGACGTACTCTAAAATTATAAAATAAAATTACGTTATATGCTGGCATGGTCAACAGACGTGCCCTAAAACTATTAAAATAAAATTACGTTATATGCTGGCATGGTCAACAGACGTACTCTAAAATTATAAAATAAAATTACGTTATATGCTGGCATGGTCAACAGACGTACTCTAAAATTATAAAATAAAATTACGTTATATGCTGGCATGGTCAACAGACGTGCCCTAAAACTATTAAAATAAAATTACGTTATATGCTGGCATGGTCAACAGACGTACTCTAAAATTATAAAATAAAATTGCGTTATATGCTGGCATGGTCAACAGACGTGCCCTAAAACTATTAAAATAAAATTACGTTATATGCTGGCATGGCCAACAGACGTGCCCTAAAACTATTAAAATAAAATTACGTTATATGCTACCATGGTTAACAGATGTACCCTAAAACTATTAAAATAAAATTATGTTATATGCTGGCATGGTCAACAGACGTGCCCTAAAACCATTAAAATAAAATTATGTTATATGCTGGCATGGTTAACAGACGTACCCTATAATTATAAAAATAAAATTACGTTATATGCCGCCATGGTTAACAGACGTACCCTAAAATTATAAAAATAAAATTATGTTATATACTGACATGGTCAACAGATGTGCCCTAAAACTATTAAAATAAAATTACATTATATGCTGCCATGGTTAACAGACGTACCCTAAAACTATTAAAATAAAATTATGTTATATGCTGGCATGATCAACAAGACGTGCCCTAAAACTATTAAAATAAAATTACGTTATATGCTGGCATAGTAAACAGTTGTGCCCTAAAACTATTAAAATAAAATTATGTCAAATATTGCCATGATCAACAGATGTGCCCAAACCGTTTAAAATAAAATAATGTTATATGCTGGTATGATAAACAGAAATTCTCTAAAAACTATCAAAGTAAAATTACGTTATATGTTGGCATGGTCAACAGATGCGCTATAAAACGTTTAAAATAAAATTAAGTTATATGCTGGCATGGTCAAAAGATGCGCTATAAAACGTTTAAAATAAAATTAAGTTATATGCTGGCATAGGTAAAAAATGTGCCCTAAAACGTTCCAAATAAAATTACCTTATGTGCTGCCATGAAAAACAAAAGTGCCTAAAAACGTTTAAAATAAAATTAAGTTAATAAGTGATTGAGTGTTTTGTAGATTTCGAAGTTGTTATTTTTTTTTACACATCACAGACATCATCATTATTAACTTCAAGTTATAACATTTCACGATATTAACCTAGCTATGGATATTGATTGACTATAGTTCTTAAGAGTTACATAAACAGATTTTATTGGATGAATTGAAACGTTATATTTCTTTCATATTTTTGTATATTTTAGGTATGTTTGTAAATAAAAGTTTTTGACGAATTATAACTTTGATGCTGATAAATCTGAGTCCGAGAAAGAAGTGATGAAGAGATTAGGACAAGTTGATGAAGATAAATGAAACGAAGCGAAGCCGACTACAGATCATTTTACAAGGAACGTTGCTTAAGATACTGAAAAACTGAGTTGTAATTGACAGAGATGAATGGAAACTGAAACCCAATGACTGCGTTTTACTTCACGAGCCACATAAGCGAAGAGCTTTATTGTAGTGTCGCGAGGGATGCAGGTGAAAATCGTTGATAACGTGTTTTATATGAAACATTACCTAAAGATATCCCCTCCACCCCCACCCCCGAAAAAAAGACTCCTTGTTCTAATCTTGGATTTTATCTCCATTCAACAGACATTGGCCACGTCAGAGACCCTAATAGATTAGGTATAATCATTACTAATTTTGAACTGCTGATTGGAGATACGGCAGTTGGTTACCAGCATTTTAACAATTGAAAAAAAAGAAAAAGATTAATAATCAAACCCAACCTCGTGAAATTTACTTAAAAGCTCCAAACTAGATTCAAACATTAAGTTACTCTGAAAATAAGCGAATTCGCGAAATCCAACACACAAACAAATAATTAACAATCATTAGACTGAGTTATTTGATGTGTTATTATTCATTAACTTACAGATACAGACGTGTTCTATCTAATGAAGTGATATATGGGCTAAGGGTTGGATGCATAATGGTAGAGTGTTTGCTTGGGCTATTCGTGTAAAGCTACAGAAGGATTATCTGTACTAGTTCGTTCCTAATTTGAACTGATAAATTAGTGGGAAGGTAGCTAGTCAAAACCACCCCCACCAACTCATGGACTACTACAATCGAACAGTAGGATTTAACAGCAATCTTCATAACGTACCCACGGCCTCAAAGATTGGATCGTGATTTTGCGACAACGGAACTGAAACCCTTGGATCTACAGTTTGGTATACTAACCACTAGGCCACGAGCGATCCATGATATAAACGTTATATATTTCCGTGTATAAGGACTACTTTTAGATGTAAACATTTAGATCCAGTTTCTCTTTTTAAACAAAACATTTATTTGATGACATTTTAGGAATATTTCTAGAAAGGTTCCCAACAATTGTTTTTGCAAGAAGATTTGTAAAAGGATTATAAATTAGAGATGTATTTCTTGTTTGAATCTATTTCAGTATGATATTGTCTTTCCACGATTCTAATTTCAAACTACCAGCCGGAATCACGTCTTCAGATACTCAGATGTTACCAAATTTTGTATGCAGAATTATACACGGATAGAAATAGAAAAGTTCATGTAATATTCTACATATTAAGTTACCTAAGGTTATGAGTCTTAAACAACAGTTTCCAAATTGTCTTCATTATTTTAAAATATATATTTTTAAGTCACATCCAATATTTATCGTGAAAAGTAAAAACCTTGCAATAAAGACACAAACGCAAATGATATTTAAAAAAACTAAAAAAAATGTTGTTGTTTTTTTAAAAAATAGGAAGAAGAAACTAGTGTTTAAATAAAGGAACATTCTTGTATATTTTTAAGGTTATTTCAAGCAAGAATAAGTATTAAAAAAGTGATTTTCGAACCAACACTCCACGTATAAACTAAGGTGTTTTTTTTTCTTAATCACAACCTTTCAAACATTGTTTTAGAATTTGTTTGTTCGTTGTAAAACACAATGTTACACAACGAGCTACCTATTTTCTGCCAAATATCTAGAGTTATAAGTCCATTGACTTACCAGTGAGCTACTTGGAGACTTTTTTTAAAAGTACGTAAACAGAATTTTTAAAGTTAGGGGAATAACTACAAAATATTTTCCTATTAATTTTGAAATTAATATTCACATACCTCATTAAAAACTCATTAAATGTAATTAGAAATAGTTAAACTATGGGTTGAAAGTTTGTTATGCAAAAGGTAAGTTCTAATATAAAACTTCTGTGAACAGAAAATGAAATACAAGGCAAATCAAATTAAATGGTTTGTGCACAAACGTAAGATTAGAGATAAATGTACTAACTTTAAACACATCTGTTTCTTTATAGATTTCTCTTATAGCAAATTCAGGCTAAAATATTTTATCTAAAGAGCTGCATGTAGACCGATGTTTCAGTTTCAATGACAGTAATCACAGACTATCTGAATCAAAACTTCAGTTTCTCTTGAATATGGGACCTTAATAAATTTCACTCTAATTGACCAATCTACTTATTGGCGAACCCCTTATCAGCTTAGAACCTGGACACGTGAGTTACGTCTTTGTTCATTGGATACTGCCTTAAGTAATGAAGGATTATGATACGTGACTGAAAATGTAGCTAGTATTTCAGACTTTTCCTTGGACAGGAATGCGTCTAATAGCGTTGCCAAACACACTACCTTACAACGATTATGTCATAAACTAGCATAACGATCTCTCTAAAATTACAATTGTCTAATAATTCTAATTATTTCTATATGTTTTTTCTAATTCTCTCATTTCAGTTGTAAAAGCCACTTTTCTCAGAGTCATACATTTGTAGCATCTAGCTTTTCCTATGTGCTAGTTTACATTACAAAGACCAATTTTTAATAGAATGTTCCCTCGCCTTTTCATTTCCCATGGCCACGTGGTTAAGACGCTTTACTCACAATCTGCAGGTCGTGGTTTCGAATCCCCGTCACACCAAATATGCTCGCCCTTTTAGCAGTGGGGGCGTTATAATGTCACAGTCAATCTCACTATTCGTTGGTAAAAAGAGTAGCCCAAGAGTTGGCGGTGGGTGGCAATGACTTCCCTCTAATCTTTCACTGCTAAATTAGGGACGGCTAACGCAGATAGCCTTCATGTAGCTTTCGCGAACTTCAAACCCTTCTTCTTTCCTTTGCTGTCAGTTGACCAGATATCCAGTAATTGTATTCCTTCTATAAATGAAACGCATGTACCATCTTATAGAAGGATATCTTCCAACAAAACAACATAAAACTAGAACTTTATTTTTTGACGATTAGTTCAAGTTTGTTTGTTTTTCAAAAGGTTATCTTTTCGCGTTTGGAACGTGGCAACAACTCGAAAACGGAAAATAAGTCAATAGTGCTATAATGGAACCTTAGCAAGCGAATCAAAATAATGAAATATAGATTTCTGATATTTTACAAACCTATAAATATTTATCCATCTTTCTGATGTAGAAGGGGGCGAAATCGGGGCGCTTCATTTGGGGTTTGGACGTGACCTCATGGTTAACGCGTTGGGCTGCTGATCGAATTTCCACTAAGCAGGCTTTGAACTTTCAGTTATGGGTGCGTTATAAGATTAGTAGTCAATCACGTTA